ACACCTTCAGTCTCACCTCAAAACGCTCGGGAACCAACAAGTCTGCACTGCCCGTTACCGCCGGAGACAGAGGGACCTTCACCTTCCCCAACCTCTCCACCCTCCCAAACCGCCCTCAATCATCCTACCCGAACTCCCCGTTCTCCCATACCCATCCTCTCCACTCCCCTGCCCCCCCTCACTCCCCTCCCCCCCACTCCCCCCACCCCGCACTGAGTTTTCGTGCCAGAATCTCGGCCTGCCCGACAGCCTGCAGGGAAGGCAGGGGGAGTGCAGCGGTGGACCTCTTTGCTCCCTTCCCCCCCCCCTCCGTGCTGCTTTTTGTGCTCAGTTTGGTAGTTCGGTTCAGATCCAAACTGGCAGAGGGGCCCCGGCAGCCATTCCAGGGAGGTGGAGGGGGCGGGGCCTAAGGAGGCCATGCTGCGACCCCTCGAAAATTGCCCCGCGACCCCTAGGTTGAGAAACACTGCTGTGGAGGGAGAAGCGCAGCAGAGCGGACGCCATTGGCGGCGGCGAGGGGCATTGTGCGAGGCCAGGACAGGCCGTGCGGGCCGGATAGATGCCCTTGGCGGGCCGCATACGGCCCGCGGGCCTTAGTTTGGGGACCCCTGTACTAGAGTGTAGCCTTGTGCAACTTTTCTCAGAGCTTTAAAAAATACTCCTTTGGACCATAACTTCTGGAATCTCCCAAGTTATCCCAGTAAGATCTGTGAGTTCCAGCCCAAAGAAGTAGAGTTTCCACAGCCTTAAAACTTTATGTCTGCCAGTCGGCATGTCTAGATTTAAGATGAACAAAAGTTCACTGAGTAACTGGATTCTTCCCCGTGCTTGGTACCATGACATGAGTGTACATGTGTCCCAGACACAAAAGTCACATACTCTAGTGTAATTCACTCTCAAGCAGCTCAGCTGGGACTTGGCTTCATCCACACTGTGAGCTCTTCCACAGGGGAAGAACATCGCAGCTGACTGAACTATGCAGCATGAGACAATGTTGCTCCTACCATATCCTCTTGGGTTCAAGAGCCTAACTTACTCAGGACCTTGCTCGGCCAACGTGAATGTGTGAGTAAAAATGGATGGAAGATCTCACTATTATCTCCAATCAGACAATGCAAATAACAGCAGAATTTCCCCACATTGCAGGACCCTCATTCACCACACACTCAATGAGGCAGATAGAAATTTCTGTGAACTGGATCAGACTTAGATGCCAGAGGTTCTTCTCCTCTGATCCTCGCATTATTCCCACCTCCTGCCCAGCTAAATACCTTTGCTAGTAGTGAGCAATTTACAGGCTCCCCCCTATACTTTCTCCCATTTACCCCAATTTTTTTTACTAGCATTGTTATGTCTTGAAATGATCTCTGCTCTTACCCTGGGCTTCACCAGCAGCGTCCCTGTGACTGTGAACATACGAGACAGGCCAAAGGGTGTGCACACTGTGGAGAGGGAGCGCAGAAAGAAAGGGAACATCAATATTTGTCATGAGCCCATTTGCCAGCAGAGGGTGCTGTTCTCCACATTCAAGGAATGCATAGCTCAGCAGGAAAATAGACTCCTCTTCCGCCTGTTTTGCTAGACCAGCAAAGCCACAAATCCCTTTTGCTTGGACAGGGTCAGATGCAGAACATGACAACACTGGGAGTACAGCTGGTCCAAAAAAATCTGTTCCCAGATTATCTCACTCAGCAGTGAAAGGTCTTTGGATTGGGCCTTTTCATTGCTTTTGGTCATCGCAGCTCTCCTCCTCCCTCTAAATATAAGATCAAAATGTATACTGGTTGAAGGTGGAAAGAAGTCCTGGTACTTGAAGTTGAAAAGATAACTTTTTCTGAAGCTCAGCCTTCCTTCAACATGATTCATCTTGGAACCTGTACAGGTTGAATTCCAGACAGTTTCAAAAACCTCCTGTCCTGTCGGACACACCCTCATGTAAGAGAAAAATATAGTCTGGCAAAAAGTCATGGTAAAGCTAGCTGAGTTTCTGCATGAACAATTTCAGCTGGTGGGGCAATCTTCTCTAAAAGCACTTTCTTCTCATTTTTTTCTAAGAGTCGATAGACATAAAAAGTCAATGATCTGTATCCAGTCCTACATGTCTGTGTGCATTCAAGTACACCCAAATTCACTTTGTGAAATGGTCCACATCCTGTTAATCAATTGTTTACATTGCTGGCCATTCTGGCAGGGAGAAAATGCCATTTTCAAGGCTCAAAAGACTTCTGTGCTAGTATCTTCCTCTCTCAGATCCACCCAAATCACTGCAATTCCTTTTAAGAGGAACAAGGCAGGTAACTCATGAGAGATGAGCTAAAGTGGGAACAGGGAGAATGTAACCCAGTGGTTCTCAACCTGGGGTCCCCAGATGTTTTTGGCCTTCAACTCCCAGAAATACTAATAGCTGGTAAACTGGCTGGGATTTCTGGGTGTAGTACGCCAAAAACATCTGGGGACCCCAGGTTGAGAACCACTGATGTAGCCTCTTTGGTGTTGGGAGTTCAAAACCCATTTGTCCTAGCAAGTCAGCACCACCAGTGGTGAGAGGGATAATGGAAACTGAAGTCAACAAAATATGGAATGGTCCATATTTCCCATTCCTCAGTGAGCAGAAGACAGCAAAGATGCACTTTGTCTGAAACCTTATAGAGTTTCTGCCACTCCAATAGCTCAACCTGATGTTAAGGCAGCTTCTACTTCAAGAAGTGTAACTAGGAAAAGTCTCCTTCACAGAATCCCAAAGATGAACTTGCAATGATTGCTCACTCCTGGTTTTAAAGGGAAAGCTGGTTATGTAACATAATTAAGGTAAAGTAAAGATAAAGGTTTTCCCCTGACATTAAGGTCCAGTCATGTCCGACTTGGGGGGTTGGTGCTCATCTTCATTTCTAAGCCAAAGAGCCGGCATTGTCCGTAGAAGCCTCCAAGGTCATGTGGCTGGCATGACTGCATGGAGTGCCGTTACCTTCCCGCCGGAGTGGTACCTATTGATCTACTCACATTTGCATGTTTTGAACGACTAGGTTGGTAGAAGCTGGGGCTAACAGTGGGAGCTCACCCCACTCCCTGGATTTGAACCAGCTACCTTTCTGTCAGCAAGTTCAGCAGTTCAGAAGTTTAACTCACTGTGTCACTAGGGGCTCCAAATATAATTAAACAAAATACAAAATTGACCACAAACCTGGACTCTTTAAGCCCCTCTTATCTTTCTGTTCAATCTTTACATGGACCTCTCCCTCCTCTGCCACCCCCACCCTCCTCGGTACCCCAATAGAAGATTAAACCAACAGGCTTACACAAGAGCAGGAGTACACCAAACAGGGAAATACATGAGTAGAGGTAAGGGAGGTAGTACTCCCAGAGGTCTGTGGGAGAAAGGGAGACAAAATAAAAATGTCAACTTTGCAAGGGTAAAGACAAAAAGGAAAATACAAATGCAAAGGCAGTTTCAACACTTTAAGAAGTTTTAATTTATTTTTATTGAATACCCCACACCTTTTTTCTAACACAGGACCAAAACACCTCACAATACAGCTTTAAAAAGTACAACCAAAACCTTGTGGTAAAAAAGATTTCTTTTAAAACTAAAAAAAACCTGTAAGCAATATATAAGCATTTTTTAAAACGTTACTAAGAATAAAAGTACAGCAGACATATGTGCCACTAAAAAACCCTTGTGCATAATCCGGGTATGCACAAATCCTTTTTTAAATAAAAATTGTCTTTATCTTCTAGTAGAAGATAGTAAAAGGAGGGCAAGTTCCCAAAGTCATATCCTCTACCAGGGGGTGTGGTAGGGAATTAAATGGCAGTGCAGCTCAAGAGTTTCTTGGTGTCCAGTCTACTATTCTGTCACAGCTTCCTCCAATTCGACAATATTCCAGGAAGGCCAGACTGCAAGCTCCAGTACCATCAACTGATAGTCAAAGGCCACAACAGCTAAGGATTACTGATGTTGTATCCCAATAAATCTTGTAGTTGCTAGGCTGAAGGCCTGTTCTGTCAGACAGATTTTATTTTTCTTCTCTTTTCTCGTTGGTTATCCCACTCATAAGCTGAAAACTCCTCTTAAAAAAGATAATTAAAAGCTTAGGCTCCCATTCCACACAAAGAAGCAAACTGCTCAAGTGTGAATCAGTTAATGGACATAAGCCTTCACCACACATCACAACAGCACACTCATTTTAGAGAGTTTGTGTTGCACAGAGTGACAGGGAATACAGAGAAAATATCCACAGGCATGTCACTTGAAATAGTTTCCTCAATTACCACGTGGGAGAACTTGCCCAGAAACTCACCATAGAGAGACTCCCTGCTGGCAGCATCATTGTCCAAAATGGCGGAAGCCACCCAGACCATTCCAAGAATTAATAATGTCAACAATAAGAGCACCACAAATGTCTCATATACACGGGCCATGATCCCCTGGAGAGGTAAAGAAAAGAAAGGGATGAAAAAGTATTAAGTAACCCTGCTTCAAAGCTAAGAGTACAGCATGGAAAAGAAACCTGATGGAAGAATGGTTCGTACCTTCTTTGATCCAGCAAAACCTTCAGACTCTGTGAAGAAGTAGGCAAAAGGCATGAGGAAGACCAGGGAGAGATTAGAAAAGAGGAAGATGAGGTTCCAGAGCCCTAAAGAGAAGGAGAGAGGGATAGGTTTACACACTATGCTGTTCAGGCTTTCACCAACAATTTTCCTATCTGACCAGTGCTTGAAGTCCATCTCTATCTATAACACACGTTCACATGCAGAACTGCCCAGCTTCTATGGACCTGTTTATTTCTTCTCCAAAGCAGATCCCACATGCCAGGTACACTACCAGATTCTTATTTGGACTCTTTGTTTACTCTCTAAAGCTGAAAACTCTGCTTAAAACAAATGAAACTTGGAGAATAAATTTCTGAATTATTCTAACAATTGTATCACATTCTTGTACTGAGGTCATAGAACACATCCAAAATGCCAATCATCCTGGACTTTCATCCCTGTGGTGAAAATCTGAGATACTTTTGAACACTTTCTTCAGACTGAACTGATTGCACGTCAGCTAGGAGGAGAGTGCTGACATGCTTGTATGAATTTTTTATTGGTTTTATTGTTTTTAGTGGGTATAGATGTAATGTATTGCTGCTGATTGTTAATTTGCGTTATTTTGTTTTATTGTTGCTGTATGTTACGGGCATCAAATTGTGCCTTGGTTGTGTAAGCCCCCCTGAGTCCCCTTCGGGGTGAGAAGGGCGGGGTAAAAGTAAACCAAATAAACAAATAAATAAATACTGGGAATAGCATGAGGCACTTCCATCTATGTGAGAACACACTTCTGCCTTTCCATCCTGATGGTCCCACCTAATATGGAGGCCTACTTGGAAACTACTAGGATGAGGACTTTGGTCTACTAGATCCCATCTTATGGAAAATCCTTTTGGCTTGATTGTGTGTTTTGTTTTGCACTGGCTGAAGGTGAGTTATTGTTGGGTTTTTTTTTTTTTTGTAAGAAAAGCATTTCCTGATGGAAATTCAGCTTCTGGTTACATTTTTACTAACCAATTCATTTCATTACAAATATTTGTGTTCATGTTTGAACCAGTTGTAGATCACTCTTAGGTGGAGTTATTCACACATCCCACAATATATGCTTAGAATCAAAAACAAAATTAATGCAGAAGGCTCCACTTACCATGGATGAGGGAGCCATTCAGCCACTGGATATAGTAGTTTTGTGGGAAGGAGAGGAGAACTTCATTGCTGATGATGGAGAAAGGTAGCAGGAGAACAGCCCCAAGAGAGACGGCTAAGGTGAAGGTGCACAGCCACAACCTGGGGGAGAGGGCAAAGAAAGGAAGGAAAGAGGACTAAAACACATGACTTGCAACTGTTTCCATTCTCCACCACCACCATCTCTTCAAGCCAAAGCAATTCCCTTTTCACCATAAAAAAACATTGCCTTCTACATAGCCAGAGAAGCCAAATGTGGTCTCTCATATTAAGGAATCTTTTCCTGCCACACACAAAAGAACATTTCAAAAAGCTTCCTTGAGCGTGCATGCACACACACACACCCGAGCTACAGCTCAAAGTGCCAGTGACAAAAGAACATGGATGGAATCCTTGAATTCTTGGTGGGTCATCAACATTTTTGGAGAGCACACAATTTCATCATCTACCACCATAACCTGAAGGAGAAACATAAATGTTGCTCCTTTTTTGCCACTGCAAATCTCATTCTGCAGATACTTTTATCAATGAGTTAAACGAAGAGGTAGAATTCAATGGCAGGCCCTATTTAGACATTTGCAGTCCCATCTAGTTTTGTTTCAAACTTCTATTTAAAAAGACAAGTGAAAGGATACACAGAAGACAATGACAATAGCAAAATAGCAGCAGGAGGAAACAAAAAAAAGTGTTGAGTAGGTCAGCAGTAGGAGTGAGGAAAGAAAGGGAGAAACTTACGCAATCCTGTTGACAGCAGCATCTTCATCAACTAAAAAAAAGGAAAATATTACTATTATGTACATAACTGTCTGTCAAAAATATGATGACATACATGGTCCCCTCCCTTCCTTGTTTTTTTTCCTAACAGTTTTGTGAGGTGGGCCAGCCATCATCTCAGAGCCTGACCAATGTCTTTCCAGTCTGAGTGGGGATTTGAAACCAGGTCTATTCAGGACTTGATCCACTAATTCTTCATAGATCTGGCCCATATTTCAAGTAGACCTGATATTGTGTGACACCAATCTGACCTAATCAGTATAGCTGAGAGCAGGGGTAATGAGCGGGCTAGTCTAAAATATGTAGAGAAATTTGTCCTCCACTTTTAGGTGTAACAGTTTAGGAAGGGAACTGGGAAGCACCAAGAAAGTGCATTTCGATGCACAGTGATCTAGTGAGACCTGCATCAGGAATGAGTACCAAACCCTCTGTGAAAAAGCCATTATTTTCTTGCTCTTTGAACGGCTGGAACATTGCCTGGTCACAATGACATCAACATGAATGCATGTGTCAGTAATTCTTCCCGAAAACAGTAGAAGTCTCCAAGAGTGACAGAAGATACAAGAAGTCCTCAGAAGTACCAGAAGATTCTGCTTCACAGTGCAGCAAACTGGGTAGCTTGGCTAATATGTGTGTACGGCCTGGTTGGAAGGAAAGAACTAGTAATGGCATGCAATTAGGGAAAGAAACCCCACTCACACAGTACTCAGAATGGCACCTCTTGAAACCAAAAGGGGTGGAGGAAATGTTTTCCTCTCTCATTCTGCACTCTCCTTAGGCCTTTTCTAAGTATAGCTGGGCCTCTAATATCACAAAGCAGAAACACAGAGCACTGAAAGTAGGCTTTCACATAACATATAACAGGTTGCCCTAACTTGGTGCCTTCTGGATATGTTAAGAGTACAACTCCAGCTTAGTAGGTGTTTCTGGGGGTTGTATTTCAAGACATCTTGAGGACATTGGGTTTGGAGAAAGCTGGCATAGTGGAGCTGAACAACCCCACTCTCTGGGTCAGCAACCCCATAAAGGCCAAAGCTACGCTGTCACTGGGAGTGATTTGCTGAGTTGCCAAATGCATTCTGATGGCTGGCAATATGCCCAATACGTAAATTGTGGGGAAACTGCGTGCATAAGAACACTATGTGCACTGCATCTCTAAGCATATATTTATATGCCCAGGGATTGATTCTGCACAGTGTGAGAGAGGCATGAGCAAAGACATACTATAGCCCATTCCTACACTGGCAGTTTACTACGGCAGCCACTATACATTAGATGGCCTGTTTTTAGTTTTCATGTTACTTGAGTGATGCCAAAGAGCTCCAACCAGATGAGGGTCACTCAATGTACCCTTCCAAATCAAATACAACAGATCAATGTGCAACAAAGCAATCCCTTACTGTAGGGTCAACTTGTTTGTCAGACTTTCCATAGGAGAATAAACCTCTGGAAACGTCAGTGACAGACTGAGAATGAAATGCAGGAAAAATATTTTCCCCAGCTACTGTTTGCTTGATAACATACAAATTGGGTCCTAAATGAAAGACTGTTTACCATCTGCTGTCTGCCTGCAAATGCACTACGTAATAACGGGAATCATCCAGGAAATTAGTGCCTGAGTGAGAACTGAGCATGCTGGGAAAAATCACTTGACCTGAGGCATTTTCATGCTATGCATTTAGAATACCGTGATCCTATTTAACTAATGTGTCAACATCCTATGGAATCCTGAGCTTTCCAGTTTATGGAGGGGCATTTGACAATTTCAGCTAGAATGGCTCTGCCCAAACTAAGAATCTTAAGATTCCACAGGATGAAGCAATGGCAGCTGAAGAAGAATCACAGTACTGAATTATGTTAAAGTGTATCTGATATAGAGAGAAAGCTTAATATAAAATGTTCTTTGCAAGTTGCTCATGAAAAGGGTTTCCTACTCTTCTCCTAAGTTACTTTGTGCATAGGAACTGCAGAGCTACAAGGTTCACGGGCTCCCTGTATCAACTGGATTGAGAAGAGCATAAACAAAGCCCCACCTGAAGGAAAAGGAGGCTTTCCACAGGGGCTGGCTAAAAATGTATACACTGCAAAACTTTTGAAATAGTGCAGGACTCTGGGGAATGTAGTTTCCCCAGGGCAACTCCTTCGGGTATCAAAGGACATAATTGTCTCCCATAGTTTAGCTCAAGAACTGCATTCCCCATGGAAATCAAAACAGGCAAAAGCTGGAAGGGAACTATTCTAACCACAGTGAGCAGTAATTGGCAGTTTCCCCTGAAAGCTTCCCTGGGGCTTCTTTGGAAACAGTTATAGCCACCATCTTTAAAATGACAAAAGTGATAGTTGTCAACAGGGCTTCACTCTTGCTGTAAGGGGAGTTGCCTGGTAGTGCTAACCAAAATAACAGTCGTCAATTTTTTTTGCAAAAGAAGGAGCATCAACAATTTGTAAAATAGGGAAGAAAAACAGAGACCCATGGGTGGGGGGGGTCCCAAGATTTTTGTTGATGGACAGAAATTCTAAGGATTTTGAAAGTTGTTCCTCACTGAAAATTGGGATGTGGGAAGGATTTTCTTGGTCTACAGCAAGAGTGCTCAAAAGTTTGTTGTTATAGCTCTCTCCATATCAAGACTGAAACTTTTGGGATAGAAAATGTGCTCACTCTAACCACTAGATCTGTAAACAAAGATTTCAAATGGAAAAAAAATGAAATCTTGCTTTTAAAATAAAATATATTTTTAAAAAGAAAGGAAGGAAATCTAGCTTGCATTGTTTTGCACAAAAAGCTTTTGATCGGATCAAAGCAAAAAAAATCCCAAAGGTCCAAAAATCCAGGGGTAGAGCACTGAGTGTTACCATAGCAACAATATCCGCAAGAACATGCATAGCTGGGATACACATCTTCCGACAACCATATGAAATGTGTTTGGACTATCTGCTGGCAAAGTCAGAGGCACTAACTACTCCCTCCACATGACTCTGGAAGGAAATCAAGTGTACGCTTTGAAAACCATGCAGCTTCTTGATTTCAAATTCTGATTGTTGCAGTTCCCATTCTCCCACCTACCCGTGGTGAAATCTGTGTGCCTTTTGAAGCGAGTTAGGATGAAGTAGCACAGAATGTAGAGGCTGGCAAAGAGAAGGGCACAAATCTGTAAGAGAAGAAGAAACGGGTCAGCCAGTATGTTCCAAATTGTGAAGAAACTCTTTCAACTCCCCCACTGGCAACTAAATACATGCAGTCCACCTCACATACAGATTTCAATAAGAAAAATTGGGTTAGGATCCTCACAGTTCCATTAGCTATGGAGGCTGTGGGGGATTTTGGGAACTGTACTCTGAAAATTAACTTTTTCAAGTTCTGCTGTCACATGATTTCTATTTGCACTTTGAATTCAGAAGCCATCCCATATTGAAGTTGTGCCTAAACTAGATAGGAAAATTGAATGAATTTACCTCTCATTCAATTCCCAGACCAGATGATTAAGCCTCCCACTCTTTATCCACAAATCCAAGCTGACCCTATTCCATGGCCATCCATAGCATCAATGCTTTAGAAGCACAAGCAGAATGGGCAAGCCCTGATTTTAAAAAATGCACCCCCAATGAAGGGATTATGGCGAAGAGATTAGAGAGCATTGATCTAACCCATTGATCGAAACATACTTTCAAATGAGGTCACAGCTGTTTCTAGGGGAACTTAAGTGCCTATGGCCTTGATACAGCATCTGCTTCCTTAATTTTAGACGAGGTACACCCCCGCCATTCCAATGTATTTGTACCCCAGAAAGAGGCTTACAAGAATTAAATCCAAGAGGATCAAACGTGAAATAAATTCATTTCAAAAAAGAATTGAACATGGCCTTATGAACAGGGTAGAGCTGAATCCCAGAATCTGACTGTTTGCCTACAAATATTAAAAAAAGAATCCACCTTCTATTGCTATTCAGGAGGAACATAAAATGGTAAGTGCAGAATTGTGACTTTCCAGGTCTAGGAAGAACATATAACAGTATATGTGAACAGGGTAAAGAGGTTGTGTTAGATTCAACTGGAAGGGTCATCTTTTCTCACTCACATATTTGAACATTATTTTTTGATCTTGGAAATCATAGGGGAATCAAACCAATATTTGGCGACAATGATTACAGGAACCCCAACTCAACATGAGATGTTATTTAAAGGAGGGGGCAACCAAATTGAAATATTAGCGGTAGTGTACACACACACAGTATATATAAAGGGTGGTGCCTAAAAGTAACACTATTTTATACATGAGGGAAACAAGATAGTGGAGACCCCAAACCTTGCAACGGTACCTCCAAAAATGTTTTGGAAAAATTTTAAGGAAAAAAAGAGAAGAACCAAAACTTCAGTGAGATGATTTAGAGAGGGACCGCCAAAACAAGCATCAGTGTCTTCATCAAGAAACAAAGGAGAAAGAGGAGGGAAAGAACAGAACGGAGTCAATTTTAACCTAAATAGAAATATCCCATACTGCAAAATTTTGTTACAAGTGCCACTTTTTAGAGACAAACTGATATTATATAGACTAATCCTAGACTGATGAATTCTCAGTTTAAAATAAATCTAATGAAAGTGGGCAAGCTGCCAGCTTCCAGATGTTCTGACTACAACCCCCAATACCTCTGACTACTGATCATGTTAGATGGCTTGCAGAAGATGGTACAGCTAGAAGATAATGGGCTGACAACACCAATCCTGTGTACTGTAGTCAGTCAGTCAGAAAGCAATTGCACAGTCCCATACCAGGCACTTGCACTTAAGATCACACTCCCTGGTCCTTCCTTCCAAAGGAGAGAAATTACAGTAGTGGTTAATGATATACGAGGGGTATTTTTTAAGTAAGGTCCGTTTTGTTGTAAACACTAGTAGTTCGCGCGCATACCGCAACGAGCGCGTGCGTCGTGTACCGGCATGCCTCGGGAACAACTGTGCTCAGTTTCCGCTCTGTAGCTAACCTGTACGGTTCTGTTCTGTGCTTTAAAAATGTTTAAGACTATCAACTCACCCTCCGCATGTGAGGTTTGCTCAGTGATACGGTTTTTGTCAGCAAGGAACCTGCCTGCTGCAGAAATTCATCGACAGATTTTGTGAAGTGTACGGTGATACTGTTATGAGTGTAAGCAAAGTGCGTAAGTGGGTATGACAATTCAAAGATGGCCGTGACAACGTCCTTGATGGGCGACCGGAGAGGTCCTCAGTGTGCTACAGAGCAGAAACTGAGCACAGTTGTTCCCAAGGCATGCCGGTACACAACGCACGCACTCGTTGCGGTATGCGCGCGAACTACTAGTGTCTAACATAAAATGGACCTTACTTTAAAAACACCCCTCGTAGTTGCCATCCTCAAGAAACAGTCCCTGCAAATGATCTGGGGTTGACCCATCTTCCTGGATTATGTGACTAAAAGCTCTTACCCTTGTCGGTAAGAATAGGTTCCTGCGTAAAAATGGAAAGGGAGAGGACCAATCCCAGCGTATGGGATGGCAGGCCTTTCTCTGCTGGGAAACATGTTGTTTCTTCTTCTTTTTAATGTTCTAGACTTGCATCAGATCCCAAGATGTTCACCCTTATCCTTAGAGGACCAGAGTAATAAGCACACAAGGGAAGAGCATCATGGAACTTAACTGAAACACATTTTAAACTTAAAGAGTTGTGTGCATTCAGCATGTGTGTGGGATGATCATGAAGGTGTGGTATCTCAGTTTTGTGTGTTGATGTTGCTGTTGTTAAAAGCTGTGGTTTAGTTTAATGTTATGAATGGGCTTGCAGTAGGGTTAGTTTAGATTTGTGGGTCCATGGAATCATGAGGAAAATGACGGCTCAAAGGGGGAGGAGAGAAGTGTCAGTGACGCAAAGGCTTCAGATAAACAAAGGCAATGGGTTAGCTTTTGTCTCTCTCTGCTGCACATCCTTTCCCTCCCTGCCTATGAGCCTCAGGACTCCTCCGCTTCTACAAAACACAAAAGGGAAGTGGGAAGTGCAAAACAAGTCATTCTAAGCCAACAGGCATCCAGAGCTTCAGCAGCAGATCTTTCCTGCCTGGGAGGTGGTGTAGGCAGAGCACCATGTAGCAAAGCAGGCTGTGTTAAATTCTTTTTCACATCTTCTAAAAGATGCCCTGCAGTGACACTACTACCTGCATTTGGGGGGGAGAGGAAACACACCCATTTAAACAAAAGGAGCCTGGAAGCCCTTTGATGTACTTCCTGAATAACAGGCCAGGAGCCTTATTGGCAAGCTCCTGACAAGTGAGAGTGAAGCTGTGGAAAGGCTTTGCAACTTGACATCAAAGAGAACCCAGTATTTCCGTAACTGAAGAACACAGGCTCCTTTCAGCTAGCTTAAATTTAAATATGGATGGTTTATTTGCTTTCAAGCTTTAAGAAAAAAAGAAGTTGAAAAATTTGCCAAGGCCTTTTACATGAATTCTTTCTACTGGAGGAAAAGATAAAGCAGAAGACCTTCAGGTGACAAGATGAGGAGTATACTAAATATTTAGAGCATTTCAGATACTAGCCACAGGTGGAGGTAAAATATCAGGAGAAAATGCTGCTAGAACGTGGCCATACAGCCCAGAAACTGTACAACATTCCACTTAAAGATTTTCTTTTAAGCGGCGGAGACATATCCTTTTGACTCCTCCAGAAATAGTTGGCCTTGAGGCCCTGTAATCCTTCACCGCTGACTGAAGCTGGGATCTTACCACATCTGAATGGCCATGGAGACCTCACCCCTGCTTTAAGCATGACAGAGAATTATTGTGTATTCCTTACTAAACTAGTCATATTTTAGTTAATTAATAATTATAATAACACTTTATTTATATTCCATCCTATCTCCCCAAGGGGACTATCTGTTCTATCTCATCCTGTATCACAGGATTTCAGGCAGGACTGAAGACCAACAGGTCGCAGGTTTGAGTCCGCGGAGAGCGCAGATGAGTTCACTCTATCAGCTCCAGCTCCTCATACAGGGACATGAGAGAAACCTCCCACAAGGATGATAAAACATCAAACCATCCGGGCATCCCTCGGGCAACGTCCTTGCAGACCAGCGTTTCTCAACCTGGGGGTTGGGATCCCTGGAGGGGTCACAAGGGGGTGTCAAAAGGGTTGCCAAAGACCATCAGAAAACACAGTACTTTCTGTTAGTCATGGGCATTCTGTGTACCAAGACTGGTTCAAATCCATCGTTGGAGTTCAGAATACTCTTTGATTGTAGGTGAACTATAAATCCCAGCAACTACAACTCCCAAATGACAAAATCAATCCCCCCCCCCAACCCTACCAGTATTCAAATTTGGGCGTATTGGGTATTTGTGCCAAATTTGTTCTAGTGAATGAAAATACATCCTGCATATCAGATGTTTACATTATGATTCATAACGGCAGCACAATTACAGTTATGAAGTAGCAACAAAAATAATGGTATGGTTGACGGCCACCATGACATGAGGAACTGTATTAAGGGGTCGCGGCATTCAGAAGGCTGAGAACCACTGTTATAGACAGTCAATTCTCTCACACCAGAAGCCACTTGCAGTTTCTCAAGTCGCTCCTGACATGACAAAAAAAGGCAGCATACAAGTAAAATCAATACAAACTGATAAAAAATATTCCTGTTTTATTCTACTCATTTTAAAGAAAGATCCATGGTCAAAGGGGACAGCCTAAGGCAGCGGTTCTCAACCTGGGGGTCGCGACCCCCAGGGGGGTCGCTGGGCCATTTTCTGGGGGTCGCGAAGGGGCCTCGGTTGGCCCCGCCCCCTCAAAATGGCTGCCTTACATGAAACTTCCCTCGCCGAGATCGCGATCCCGCCGGCTGGCAGGAACGCGGGTTAGGCGAGGGAGGCTTCGTGCAGGGCCTAGCACGGGCGGCAGGGGCGCAGCTTAGGCGAGAGAGGCTTCGTGCGGGGCCTAGCCTTGCATGAAGCCTCTCTCTCCTAGATCGTGCCCCTGCCGCCCGGCGGGAGCACAGTCTAGGCGAGAGAGGCTTCGTGCGAGGCTGCAAGGGAGCCAAGGAAGCCGAGGCAGCCTTCGCGCGAACCCTTCCTGGGCTCCCCCGCGCGCTCGCCAAATGGTGAGGCCATGGAGGAGCCCAAGGAGGGCTCGTGTGAAGGCTCCCT